TGTAGAAACTACAACAGGTGACAAAGGTTCTGTTGTGAACGACTGTCGTTGGGACCCGAGGCGGAACGGTTAATTGGCACTTGTTTTTTAAGGAAAACAATCTTAGAGCTCAACGGATATGTCGTAAAAACTTTTAGGAGCGCTTGTATTCTTTATCAATTCAGCCGCAGGTGAAATAGCTAATGTTTTACATTGGAAATACTTAGACTCCGCCAGCGTGGGCTTTACGGAACAAAAAAATGAAGGACCAACTGATTTCGCGCGCGATGTTTTCCTTATTGAGAAGCCTCATCGTCCCAGAAGCAAGCAGCTAAGATGTCGAGCGTCCTGGATGCCCCAAAAACAAGAATAAACTGCTCCATGCTCTCGCAGCATATTAATCGAGCAGTTTGTTTGACTGGACGCGTTGGACAGGTCAGTTTTGTTCGTAACCAGCTCGAATTAAAGAGTCGTTTAAACTGCAGCAGATGAGTCAAAATGGCCTGTGAATGTTCCTATTAATTAGGGTTTGCTGTCTGTTTTATGAAGGTTCATCCAACTGGAAAAACGTTCACAGTCAAGGATGGAGAAGGAAATACAGCAACAGTTGAGCTGAACGAACCCGTGAGTACATTAAGCTCTATTGACATTATAAAATTCGACGTGGAGCAACCATTACATGTCACATTTAGGGAATCTTTCTAGAACTTTAACCCATTCAATAATTTTCTTTCTGCAACGCAATTAACCCGTTCAGCAGTTGTGCCGGAAAGCAGTTTGTTGTCGTAATCGTTCTAGAACTTTGTGTTTAACGGTCAACATTTCTGTAACCATGACACCTATATGGAACACTTCGAATCAAGCTAACGATGCTAGCTAATGTCAGTGCCATGCTAGCTAGTGTCAGTGTCAAATGTACGTGTTTCAAACAAAGAAACGCGTACATTTCAGTGTGGTAAAGTGCTAGTGTGATATTGTAGCCACTGACAGGTGATGAGGAACTTTGTGTGTTGTTGTTATATCCACTAAAACACCTGACTGTGACGTGTTTTTCAGCTTGAAGAGGAGCTGAGTGGCATCGTGGAGGTAGTTGGCATGGTGTCCAACAAAGGATCCATTATGGCCACTGTGTACAACATGCTACGAGAAGACAAGAGCGTTCCCTTTGGTGGGTATCTTCTCCCAAAGAGGCCGGACTTTGATGATGCCGATGCCTTCATGAACCGGTTTTTCTGTCCCACAGATCTGGAAATGTACAACGGAGCCCTGAAGGTGATTCAGGACTTCCCTCAGTACTATCCTTTTGAGGTGTCTGCAAGCAGGTGAAGCCCAAAGGAAGATGGCGTCCTCTGTGTTTTTTTCTACTCATCTTCTGTTGTGTTTGACAAAGTTCGGTTGTAAGTTTAGCGGGGAAATTATTACACAATATTAAATGCTAAATTTTTACGTTTTTACTCGTCTGTCATCTTTGAACCTCAACAAGACACCAAACTGCTTTACGTTTTAATTTAAATAAAAAGCAGGAGGTCAGAGAAATGCATGTATCACATTAAGTTTAGGCTGTTTCTTAAATGTCTGCTCATAAAGATGCGGGAGGATGCCACACACTGAAAATGGGGATCAAATGTGTGAATCAGAATCAGAAATACCTTCATAAACCCAGAGGGAAATTATTTAAATTGTTAACATGTCGACTGGTTGAAAGGTGGCATGACAGATGTGTTCTTCTGGGAGTTTGTAGATCTTTTCTTTGCCTTCTTTGAACAAAATATCCTTAAGGTAATTGGGCCTCTGGCAGCTTCACTGCTGAGGGACTTCCAGTGGAGTTCATACCTCACTTTGGCCAGCAGAGGGCAGTGTGATATAAACACCTGTGGACTCTGCATAAACCAGGGGAGGGAAATATTCCTATCCCTAATTGTCTTGTTTCCTTAACTCAAGTCTACTTATTGACTTCCAGCTGGTGTTTATTGTCCAGGAGGGAAAGATATTACCTTCTGAAGCCACAAACTGATTTATTGGAAGCTGAGTGTGATCTGTCAGTTACTCATTTTTAAGGGAACAAGACTCAAGTCCGATACTTTCAACATGGTGGAGCCTGGCCAGGTTACAGAGCCCTAAAAAGGCCCCGACTTCAGAGGTCTTCAACAGGGGGTCCGCGCCCCCTAGGGGGTCCCAGAGGTACTATATGGGGGTCCTGAAAGTTTGGGTTGATTAGACTTTTTTTTTTTTATATATTCTCCCCTCCCTGCAATTTGTTGCACTAATGTAAATGTCTTTAAATCCACATGAACATGAGTTCAACAGACTGTAGTAAAAAGATAAATGGAGGCAGAAGATGTCTTCCAGTCAGCCACACACAGGGGCTCTATCTATCTATCTATCTATCTATCTATCTATCTATCTATCTATCTATCTATCACACAGGAGCTCTTTCAAGCTGGGCCCCGTTTCATTCACAACATCTGTCCCACCAACCAGGAACCAGAACCAGATGTTTACAGTAAAAACAGGAAGATATCAACCTGTGGATTATCTGAGGATCTTAGTACTGAATGCCCAATAACCATGGACAATTACACACTATAGAACCAGTTGACCAGGTGATCTTAGCCCCGAACAAACTCAGCTGAGTTAGGAAAAGGGAAAAGTGGTGCACCACAGGAATCAGGCTTTAAGGGAGTTAGACATAATTTGTGATATAAATCGTTTGAGCCCGACTGCTCCTTTAAGTAAAACAAGTTCACAAACAGCTTATTTAATTTTTTTTTTTTTTTTTTTTTTACATGACCGAACGTTATTTTGCTGTCAAATTAATAGTAAATATTAATAGTTAATATTGATTAAATTAATAGTTTAAAATGGGACTACATTTTCAGACATTTTACCAGTTTATTTTTAAACCTGACATACTATAACCACCTAATCTAAATGGAAAAAGTCTGAATTAAACCAGATTTCAATTTTCCAATGTGACATTTCTTTTTTTTTACACAATTATATTTTTTTCTCATATTAAAAATCATGTTGTGTGTTGTTAAGTTTGAGGCAATAGAGACTTTGTTGTTTTTTTTCTTTTTGTGTATTTTCTTTAAATGAATCGGCCCTTAAGACCAAAAAAAAAAAAATTGATGTCTTATTTCTTGTCAACTGGTCTGGTAATAAATCACTCTGAAGTATCGGCCCATCTTCCAAAGGCCCAAAGATTTACTACCCAGTGACAAGACTTCGGTTTGTAAGTTTTCTGACCACTTAAGAAAACCGATAAAAAATAATGGCGGTGATGGATGGATTTGTATATCATCTGTGAAAGGTCGGGGTGATGCTGTCAGCCGGTGTGTGTGTGTGTGTGTGTGTGTGTGTGTGTGTGT